GACACCCCGGAGACGACCCTCAAAAACCAACGCGATGAAACCCAAACTGAGAGTCCAAGTGCCCAACTACTACTGCTCTAGGTCCGACTCAGCGTTTAGGGTTTAGGGTTTAGGGCTTCGGGGTTTAGGGTTTTAGGGTTTAGGGTCCTGGCTGGGTGGAGCCTTACGAGCTAGGCAAGGACCCCAAAAGGGCATAAGTGTCAATCCCCTCAGCCAAGCCAAGCAGCACGCAATCCTTCGGTAGCTCGTCTGCTCGCTCTAGCTTCTTCAGCAGCTTGTCATCATCTATGACCTACCGGCACTTGAACTCGAGATGCATGTCATACAGACTAAGGGGATGAATTGTGTGAGTTAAATATGCGGTGCTAGGGATTTAGGGCTCGGAGCATGCAGTGATGTAGCATTTCAGGTCTTCGTTCACTGGCATCTGTGGAAGTATGCCCTCGGTGAGAAACACAATGCGAAGTGCTTCTCCTTATTCCCACCAAAAGTCACACCGTCGACCCCCGGATCTACATTTTGAGGGTCTGAATCATCAAAATATAGGGTTTCGGGTATATTATACTATACTCCTAAGGCCTAGTAAGGAACCCCCAAAATAGCATTGGTAACTATTTGGGCCGCTCTATTGCATCTCAGGGTCTCCTATAAACATGTTACAAAAAAGCCTTCACCATCCTCTTGAATGCACAGAATTATGAGTTTCGTTTCACTCCGAGGCAAACACGACCCAGCCAGCACCCAGCCCCAAACCCTCTCCCTTAAACCCTCAAAAAACAGAGCAACATGCAGTGCCTTGATAGAATGCCCCTGCACCGCGCGGATGTAGAGCTGTCCGTCCACCTCCTGCCTCAGAGTTGGGATTCGGCGTCTACGGCTTTGGAGCTGGTGGGGTTTCGGGGTAAGTGCTTTAGGGTTTCGGATTTTGGGATTCGGAAGTGATTTTGGGGGGTGAGGGTGGCGGGAGTACCTCGCGCTGGCATAAACCACCTACAGTGAGCTTCACGTGCCCTTGTCTGCGCTCTCCTACAGGTTGTGCACAGAGGCAGACGAAACCCTGATTGTCAGGGTCATAGCGTAAAACCATAGAAACCCCTAAATCCCAGGTGGAACCCTTTTGGGTTTAGGGTGTTTAAACGGCTGAAATAGTCTGACGAAAAAACGCCAAAGAGGAGTTTAGGGACGAGTCTTTCCACAGGCGGTGTTCTCATTTCGCAACATTGAAGCCTTCAAGTCGGAAGGCACTACACCCAAGTGCCTTAACTCAGCTCCCGTAGGGGCTACGGGCTGAAGGACTTAAGGCTTCAGGAGGGTTTGAGGAGGGCTTAGGGTCATAAATCATAAAGGCTTTGGGGTCTAGGCCTCATAAGCTTTCAGAATGCAGGCCTTAGCTAGTATCCGAACATCTCGGCAACCCTAAACCCTAAACCCTAAACCCTAAACCCTAAACCAAGGGGCCAAGCTTCGACCACGAGCTCCCTCAGCCCTAAACCCCAAACCCCAAACGTTCCAAGCTTCTGAGAGAGATGTCACATAAAGCAGCCTTGCTGGGGACCATCATAACCGTGAGAAGACTACCTCTTAATTAGGGTTCCTTACTCCGTTTCCGGCATAATCTGTGGAATCATGAACCCCGAAGAGACCTGTTTACGAAAATGGTGTGCGGAATATCTGCACAGCACACCCCGAAAGCCCTACAGCCCCCCCGGTACATCCAAAACAACATGGGAGTTGCTTCTCTTTGGCTACCTGCTTTGTTAGTATGGCTACATAGGTGCATAGCCCTAAGGTATGGTGTGCTAGTCTGCAAGTTGTCAAAGAATGTAGTACATCTGCCAAAGAACAGCTCGAAGCGCTTCTTGTCGCTCTTCTGGACCTCGCTGCAGGGATATTGCTCACTTACGGCTGTATGGCTGTACGGTTTCGCTGCTTAAGGCTTAAATTGTTGGGGCGTTGAGGTTTACGGTTGCAGGGATTGGTGATTGGGGCTTGTTGCGGGTGTAGGAGCTTAGGGATGGATACCGCGTTCGTGCGGCTGGATATCACTGTCAACAGAATCTAGGTTTCGGACACTTCGTCTTCTTGACTCGAGGACAAACTGCAACAAGCAGGCATGTCGAGTTCGGTGTTACCGAACAAGGACTTAACCCAAGTTCAAAGCGGCACACCAATGTAGAACTAGACTAGACTACGGCAAACGTGCAGTTGAATCCCGACTCCAGGAATTGTCGTACGTACACATTGCTTGTGATTTGCCGGGGCAGGGGAAGTCTGACTTACTGCTCATCCTCCTTCTTCTACTGTCGCCGCGGTCATCCTATACGACCACTTGCAAAGTGGGGGCTTGCTGTTGCTGTTGACGCCCTGGTGCTACCTGATGCTCCTACAGATTGTGGGCGATGGCTCCTGTTGCTCCTTAGGTTTCTGCTGTTGCTGCTATGTTACAGGGTTTAGTAATCAAGGTTCAGTATAAGGCTCAGTCCGACGCTCAACACAACTCCCTGCCACAACTTCCCCAACTGGCAATGCCGTATGACATCCCAAGCCCAAACGTGGAGAATGTTTAGACCCAAACCTGCCCTGAGTATTTAAGTCCAAGGACTCTAAAATAAAATACAACTCGTCCCTGTGTAACCCCACCCTGACCTCTAAACCCTATATTGTATAGCCCTCTACGAATCCTAGTTCGCCTGTCCCCGAGATCTGAGGTGTGGGCAACTTTTTGAACGATATCCCACGTGGCATCCAACTCCTTTAACCTCATAGATCTAGGGTTGGGGGCTTAGGGTTTAGATGTGGTGCTGGGTTTGGGGCTTCGCGTGTCGGGTTTTAGGCTGCTGAAAGGCAGAATATAATGGGATCGTGTTTTAGGTGTTGAGTACTCTTTCCAATATCGATAAGCTCAATATTTCGTGGTTAGGGCCAGGTCTCCATCACGCGGTCAGATATATATGGGTAGTTCTCCAAGTTAGGGTGCCCTTGTCAAGTCCCCAATATAGTACTGCACCCTTTCAACAAGGACCCTAAAATGGACCCAAATTTAGAACACTATCCACATGTCGAAGCTCCAAATGGATCGCTGTGGTTGACCAGTTTACTCGCAGGAAAGCTGATTCCACACTCAGCTGAAAGCAAAGATCTCTTGCAGTACGATGTCTGTCATGGCGCAGCAACTCTAGGCTAGACATGGAGTAATATAGGGCCTTATTAATTAAAGTAGTGTTTGGGGAATGTTATACTGTGAAAATGGTTTTGGTAATTCCCAAAGCCCTAAACCCTAAGGAATAGTAGTGGTACTTATTGAAGGACATCATATCATGCTTGCAAGGAAAGCAGACTGGACCTCCATCTACTAGCCGGTGATCTGAAACGGCTTGGGTTTAGGGCTTAGGTTGGGTTTAGGACTCAGGGTTTAGGGCTTTGTGCTTAGAGTTTAGGGCTTAGGGTTTGGGGTTTAGGGATGTTTAGGGCCTAGGGCTTGGAGTTTCGGGTTTAGGGTCACGCCACAGCCCTTTGGCCGCGTGGCCATGGGCAGGCTAGCACCTCCTCCAGCAAGCCTCAGATGTGGCTGCGGACCCGGGCAGGGGGAAGCATCGGAGGGTGTAGGGCCACTAGGCTCAAGGTCGTAGGTGAACAGGGACAGCCCCAACCCCGGTCACACATACACCCTTTACCTCTGAACGGCATCTTCACGCCGAAGCGCTTCAAAGTCCAAAGGGTTGAAGAGGAGTACTCAGACTTCGATGTCAGTAGAGAGCCCGGAGGGCCGTTGGAGTCTCTGTTGAGGATTTTGGTATCTTTTTGGTTAGAGCGGTTAGGGCTTTGGGGGTCAAGGTTTCACGCTGGATTTAGGGTGTAGCGATCTGGGTATGGCACAGCCGAAAATCAAAAGCGAACGGCTCCAGGGTCTACCGATGTGTGATTTCCGATTACGGTCTCGGCGATGCTTCGCAGCGACCCCGTCTTGGACCTCAAGTCATGCCACATAGCGTCGTTACGGTTGATGGACAAAATCCTGCATGACCCTATATACCTAAACTATGGGATTTATGGTACTATACTATATTTGGGTCATGCAGAATTTTGTCCATCAACAGTATGAAGGCCATTGGAGAGTCCGAGCTGTTGTGAAAGAAAGAACTACACTGCCGAGCGTGGATGGAGGGTTTAGGGTTTAGGGTTTAGGGGTTTAGGGTTTGGAGCACAGTTTCGTGCGGGCCAAACGTGAACGTTCGGGCGCTCACGGCCAGTTGTAACATCAACAGACAAGGTCGCTTCTGAAGCGTCTTAACCAAACATCCTGAGCTGCACGTCTGCAGGGAGACAGGCCATGCAAACCAAAGTAAACAGAAGCCAAGACAGCCAAGAAGAAAGAAGTATCCAACAAATCCCAACCCAAACTACAGAACTCCATTTGACGCCCCTTTTACCCCTACACCACACCAAGAGCTCCCCAAACACTCGAAACCATCCGAAAAAGTGGTCCCAAAGATCCCAAAAGCCTCTTATGTCTTGTGGAACACTTATTGAAGCCTTGTAATTAGTGTAAACCTTGTGAGCCCTATATAACAACCGGCTAAAACTACAAAGGCTCCCGCCGATGAAAAGCTCCGAGCAGCAGTAGCCATCGGGCTGGATCCCTAACCCCAGCCTGGCGAGAGATGGGTTTAGGGTTTAGGGTCGCGGGTTTACGGACCCTTAGAGGGGGCTAGGGGGGAGGGGGCCAGCGGGCCTTAATACGTGTAATGAGGACCTACTCCGGCCTCTTTACCCCTACCCTCCCCCCCTTACCCCCTACTGCAAGGGTCCCTATGACTCCTGGACACCAACTCTCCGTTGGGTCGTTTTGGGTTCGTTTGTGCTTCGAAGGATAAGGATAAACCTATCGTTCTGCTTGTTTGGTGTATGCTGTTTGATGACCGTCCGCCTTTGTTTTGTGCTTTGTCCTTAAGTAGGCATTTGTTCTAGTTCATTGCGTTTCTGCGCTTGCTGGGTTTAGGGTTCAGGTTCAGAGGACAAGATCTGAAAAGAGAAATAATGTTGCTGTGGCTTTCTAAGCCCTGGCCCTCAAGTTGTCGGCTGGAGACTGCATGGTATCTTGGGTCCGGATTTCTTAAGGCTTACAACTACTCCATGAATAGGGGTTCTACAGTATCACCTTAACCGTAATGCTTTCAGAGTAGTTGTTAGGGTGAAAGGTGTGCAAGATAGATCAATGTCCCCAACCCAACGCCATTGCACCTACAGCTCGAACTATCCAAACCCTAAGCCCTCGACTAGACAGTCTTGCACTGATTTTACACACCGAACCCTCAACTTCGTGCAGGCACAAAGCCCCACCAAGCCCCAACCTTGCACGAAGCATAATGGACGATCCAGCAACACAACCCCTCGACTCTAAACTATAAACCCTATAAACCCTGAACTCTGAACAGAGCCACAAAAATACGGTACCTGGGGAAATCAGATCCCTATACATACATACATTACATTACATTACATTACATTACATTACATTACATTACATTACATTACATTACATTACATTACATTACATTACATTACACTACACTACACTAC